CTTTGGAGTAGTACTTAGAAAGTCCATTTTTAAAAATGAATAAATACACAGCAAACATTTGTTTTATTTTCACAAAGTACATCCTCCCTTTTTACAGCACAAATAATACTTGGTTTAGGAATTCAATTTAAAAAACAAATGAACATGCAGAGTGGTATTCCTCATTGTGGCTATAGAAAAATTTAACTGAAAGAAATACAGTGATCAACATTAGACAAAACTGCAGTAAATACGTACTCACCCTAAGAACTATAATTTAATCCAAAGGGAGTGAGCCACCCTCCACCCAAAGTCTAATAGCAAAAGAGGGTGGGATGAAAAAGCTGCAAATATTTGTCTTATTTTTTATATGGGATGGATAATGCATTCTTTAGCTTATCCACATTAAATATGCTTTAGAAAAAAATTCTACTTGATATTTTGACAATCGCACCCTACATTGCTTAGGTTAATTTCTGTAAGTGTTCATTTTTACCTTATGAGTCACTGTGCTGTTATAGCTCAATCAACTATCAGTTTATGTAGCCTTGCTCAAAAAACTACAAACAGCAAGGTCTATGCTTACTTATAAAAAGGACATGTTTAAAATAATGGAAGACAGCAATAATGTTCCAAATGAATGTTAGTGGGCAAAATATATATAACAAACACATTTAGACAGAATATCAGGTGCCCATTGGTGTATCATATATGGATAAAATGCTTAAGGATTGAGAATATTATTCCTCCTTTAAACTTTTAGCTTCTATATAATGTCAGATGTTAAAATTGATATAAAGGATAAATGCTTTTAGAAAAACTAAAAGTCTGTGTATAAAGGAAAATAGCAAAATCTGTAGTGACTTTGGTATAAGGCTCTCTTCTCTGGTGATAACTCCCTTTAGCATATATCCAAGATAGACTAAACTGAGTTTTTTGAAACAGTAGCAATTCTTTCATATACTCTTACTAAATACTATAAAAATGCATAAATATTCCTGTACCATGCATTATGTACCAGTTTGGGGCTGAGTGATGAGGCCATGGTTACTATTTTAACAGTTCAATATTACACCTCAAAAGTTCTGCCATCTATACACTGTGAATGGACACAATAGTGAGGGCTCTACAGAGATGGCAAACTACCTCTAAAGTAAAAAGTTTGTGATGAAGTGTCTCCAAATTAGAAGAGAGGAGGATATGAGGTAAAAGAGGTAAGCAGAGTAAAAGAATTTTTAAATAATACTGCTTAGGAGTATATGTTTAAAGATAGCCACTATACCTTATCTAGCCTCTATGCTAATATTGAATAACGGCCACGTTCATGAAAAATAAAGTTCTACTTTATAGGAAGTGTAGCACTCTGCTAGGAAAAGCATATTCTTGTCAGGATAAGATGTGAAGACATCTGTCTCATAAGTGCTATTTTACTTGGTAAGTCTTTTGGCTACACCACTATATGCTATTTCAACTCCCTTATCACTGGGGCAGATATTAGTGAATGCATCCCTACTATAAGCATTAGTTTAGTATCTCTAGATGCCAGTTATTCTTTTTGGACTATCAAAACTGTGATACTTTTTTGACCACCAACTTAACAATGTGCAGTTTGGGCAGCAGGTTGCAATCAACCAATGTCATTTAATTGCCATGAAGAAATTTAAATGTGGGAAACTTGATGTCCTCCATATTATTCTCCTCAATTTTATCAGGAAGGGGAGAATTCAGATATTCATCGAATTTCTGCAATGTAGATCCCTCTCCAATGCTTCATTAGCTTCTGGCTGGAATTCTTAGCAGAGAATTCGGCAAAGATGTACATTCTACCAGTATGTGATTCCTGGTGTATTGGTCAAAGCTTAAGTACTTTGGAGGGCATAAGACTTCAAGAAATTCTTCAATCTTATTTATATCCATTTTAACTTCATTGTTGAAAGTTAAACATGGTGGGTGGGTCAAGGGAGCCAAGTTTTGCAGGTGTACAGGCTTCCTTTTTAAGTCAACAGTTGTGACACTAAATACAACTCCTTTGAAACCAAAGAACTGTGAAGAACCTACAGGAAAAGGGGCAATTTCTTAAGTATTCACCCTCACTGCCAGCCTCGATGGAAAGGCGGTGGGCTCTTTGTCTTCCTCCTTTAGCCAGGTCAAGTGCCTTGACAACGCCATGGCTCACTGGGCTGTGCTCAGCAGACAGTGGTAGCAGTGGCTGCTTCTACTTCGGGGGCCCTCTGGTGTGGGCTCCTGCCGCCCAGTGCCTTCTTTGACAGTCCTGGAATTGAGCTCCCCAGCACGACCCCATGCCTCTGGCATGACTCATTCGATTTTTAATTGAAATAATTATTGCTTCAGCTGTATTTTTTTGCTGTTGAAGTCTTGTGTTGGGGTTTTGATTCTAAATACTTAACTTTACTCATGGAAAAAGAGCATGAATACATGGGATGGGGAAATGGAGTTATTTTAAATGGGCAAATTAAATGATAGCATAAGAACAGAGACCATCACTAATGATATGGTCCAAGTTCCCTCTGGATTACTATCAGCCTTTCATGAGCCACCTCTCTTGGCTTCTTGGCAATTCATCATACAAGAAAAACAGACAACAGTATATACATATATATAGCATGAAATGTTAATTTAGAGCCAACTCCTTTGAGTAAGTTCCATGTCCAAGGCCCTGCAGTTGTCATCAGGTAGTTCTTGCATTTGAAAGCTGCAAAGGAACTTTAGAAGGATGGCAGAGTATCAAGCCTCAGAGGAAAGAAAGTTGTCACCAATATAAACAGTGAGCAACAAACATAAAAGTCTTCCACTCTATTATATTTATAAATAAATTAATTAATAAACATATTTTATATAAATATACTTAAATAGTGTGGAGAGCCAAGCAAGATAATGTGTGCCAAAGGAGTTGGAAGCAGGCCTCGGGTTGAGCACAGCTGCCCTAGGCCACGGAAGACTGCCTGATAGATTGTTGTAAGAAAAGAATGACTTGGCTGCTTGCTATATCACTGTACCAAGAAGGAACAGCAAATGTTCTCTAAAAATAAAATGTACCTAGCCTTGCAGTTTTTCTTTCTCACGCTATGCTTCAAAGCTGGCTCAATATATACAGCCTGACTTCACCAATAAACAGTTCCCTCCTCTGCATCCCAGAGAAGAGACTCCACCTGACCCCACTTTGAATATCTTTTGATTTCTCAACCCCTCCTCCCCCTACTGTCACCTTCCCTTGGGACCTGACCCATCCAGTCATGGCAAATATAAATATAAATATCGTAAGTATATAGTTATTAATAAATATATATTGTGGACCGCTCTGCCTGGTTCTAGGAATTGTAACTGTATCCTCTGTGGCTAAGGACCTCTGGAACGCAAGCCGCAGGAGATCAAGCTTGTGTCTAGTAGCAAATGCTGTCTCAGTTTCCTCCCTGCCTCCAAAGCATGGTCAGACAGGTAAGACCCCCTCAGAGGAGGGGCAACCTAGGTATAACACGATCACTTGGGAGGCCATCATGGAAGGACTCGGGTGGGGGGGGACTGCAACAAAGAGCAATGGACTCTCACCCCATGGCTTTGACATAGCCCGAGTCCCCATGTCCTCTGGGAAAAGCGCTTCCTGGTTCTAATCCCCTTAAGCCTAAATATCTGATGGGGAGAGGGGTGCAGCTCCTCACCTTGCTGTGTCCTGGGGAAAAATCTGGCACCACAAACACTTCCTGATAAACCTGTGTAATCTCCTCTGCTAAGACTGCGTTCATTCATATGTTAAGGGTTGAAGCAGGAAACCCTAAAACTCTTTTCTTGACAGACTCAGACTAAGCCCTCAGATTTCTTTGAAATGTTATCTACTGTTTGATCCTTGCTGCCCTGTGTTGCTGTGTATTACGACCCAATAAAAGTCCCTAGAGGAGGGGGCTCAACGTATTTTTCCCCTGAGAAACTGGCCACTGTTCATGGCCTTTTTCCTCTGGGAAATGGCCACCTCTCCTCCCCAAGCAGATCACATCATATCTCTGTCATGTTTACTCTCATCCCTGGCAGCTGGGGGGACTTTCGAGGAAAGTCACCCCCACAAATATATATTTATCAAATCTAAGTATGGAGGCCTTACTTATTTTTTTCTGGACAGTGTCATAATTTTTAGTATGTAAAGAATGCATGGAAGAAACCCTCACCTTAACACAACGACCTTTTACATCACTGTGTAGCCTATTCAAATTCCAGTGTTTGTGGATACATAGGTTTTACTCAACTATAATCTATATAATTCATTCAATTTTACAGTTTATTTATTGCACCCTCACTCTATTATTCAGTTTTTCACATACTTATATAATTTTATCAATCTGTGGTTAGGTATTAAGGATATTACTAGTTTCTTTTGATTGTTGCAATTCTAAATAATGCTGCTCTAAACATCTTGTGGTCTGAGCTTTGTCACAGAATGTATTCCCAAAAGTGATATAAATGAATGTGGGAGAGAACTTAATGCCTGGTAAGATACGATCGTAGTTCCAGGTCGGAGGTCAGGAATTTGAACTGCAAATACTAATAGATCACTAGCTCCTACAAAAGAACGGGTGGACTTGGGGGGCCTGCGCGTCGTCACATTTCCATCTGCGTGAGAGTCAGTTAAAATAAAAAAAATAGTTGGAAAAAATGAGTAATTAGGAGCGAGTAATTCGGGCGCGGCTAACTAGGAGCTGCTCTTTGGAGTCTGGGGCGGCAGGTGGGCCTCAAGCAAAGGGGATCAAGGAGTAAACCGATCCGACAGGCCCAAGTGACAGTGTGGGGAAAACAGCACCCCCAAGCCCCAACTCCATCTCCCTCACTGCCCCTTCGCCTCTCGGATCCGGAACCCCGTCTGGTCCCCATTCCCGCCTATTACGGGCAGTCAGAGATTTTTTCTCTCCCTTTCGACAGGAGTGTGGGAGGTCCTTCTCCTCCACCACCTGCAGCCACCGGAACCAAATTGAGAACCCCGAAATAACTCTGCAGTCCCCAACCAGGAAACCCACCTCTCACTGCCTCTGGCCTTCTCCACCACCAAGGTCTCCGTTACCAAAGACGCTGCGAGCCGCGCCCCGCCTACTGAGAGCTAGGCAGGTGATTGGTGAAAACCCGGTTCCTAGCAACCAGCTCCGCCCATGAGGCTTGACAAGGGGAGGGGTACAGGCCTGAAGGTCCTTTCCTAAGGCTTCACCGTAGGCATCCAAGAATATGCCTTCACAGAGGTTGGAAAGGTGCTACAAAGCGGCGTCTCAACTCAGAATGAGGGAATTAGGCTCGTTCGCCCGACAGGCAATGACATTCTGGAAAAAAAAAAAAATAAGAGGATATGGCGGCGCCGTTGAGTGAGGGACAGCAGGCGCAGTTTTGCCACCTCAAGCCGACAGACAAGGAAGGACCAGCTGCGACTTGGGGAAGAAAGCCCACCGCCCAGGCCTTGAGAAACTACTCAGTTTCTCCAGTGCTGCTGTTTGTTATCAGGCCGGTGTGCGCGTTTCTTCCCCGCAAGGGTGGGAACTACACCTTCATGGCTGAGGTGAAGGTAAAGCTGCAGCTGCCGGACGCGGATCCGGTAGAAATAGAAAACAGGTAAATTAGTGAGTGAGGCTGGGTTCCCATCTCCGAAGCTCCGCAGGCGGCGGGTCCTTTGGGCATGGGGATCCTTTCTCCGGGGACCTTCGGGAGATATCGGGACGAGGTCACTGAGCGCTTAGGAATGGGGTTGCCGGGTTTGCACCTCCTCCTCCCCCCGGGAGATCAAAACTCTTAAGGAGTTTGAAAGGAACTTGACAGTCTGCAGTTTTGTGTAGCTGTGGCTATGCTGTTCGGGAAATTATGATGATACGCCGCCTTCCTGAGTTAAGGTTGGTCGATGCTCAGAAAGAAGAAGGCGTTTTTACTATAGAACTTGAGGATACACGCTCTGATCCAAGATAGCTCTTATCGCTATGGTAACTCCCACCACAGAACGCTTAGGCGAAATTAGGGTGCAGTTTGTGATTACAAAGCAGCATTTAGGCAAAAACAATTTTGTACAGTATTTAAGTCAGGATTGTAGGGCATCTAAAGCCTCTCTCAATTTTAAATTTCTATCATTGCACTGCTACTTTTGGGTTACCACATAGTTTTAAAAGAACCAACTTTCTCAGACTGTTATGAATAACATGATGATCCCATGACAAAGTGAAGGGATCACAGTTTTATTGGGACATGGCAGTGTCCCAATAAAACTTTTTTTTTTTTTTTGGTTTGGTAGAGATCACGCTAAAAGCAGGCCGCAGTTGTAAATTGTTACAAATTTTGGCTTCCCACCAGAAGTACCTGACTTGCCTCCTGCTTGCAGACTTATGGCTGTCCAATGCACGGTATCCTAATTTGTCCTACTTGTGTCTGGAAAAATTGAAGTCGCAGCATTAAGATTTTTCCTTGTTTTTATTTGACTTTTGGTCTAGTTTAAAGCCCGTATTAGTGAAAGAAAAATGTTTCCCTTAAGTAATAATAAAGTAAACATGTATTTTGACAGGTTTGATTCAGAACCATCATAGAAACCCAAATGTGAAGAAAGACACAATTTCAAATTGTTCTACTAGTATTTTCCCCACTGCCTCTTAAAAATAACTAAAAACGTGAATAATGTTGTTAACGTCTTTGTTCTAGGATTATAGAATTATGTCACCAGTTTCCTCATGGAATCACAGACCAAGTAATTCAAAATGAAATGCCTCATATAGAGGCTCAGCAGCGGGCAGTGGCAATCAATAGACTGTTGTCTATGGTAAGGTGAATCCACTAGTTAATGTAATTACTTTTTAAAAATTATCATTGTCATTACTTTCTATTATTAGTCATAAAAACATTAGAAGGTATGTTAGCTTGTGACTGATAAGATTCTAAACCAGGAAACAGCTCAGACTGCCCGAATTGAGGAAAGAGAAAATTATTAACCATTTTACAAGACAAATGAAATAAATATATTTTTATTAACTTGTATTTCTTAACTTAATTGTCTTTAAGATACATAAAGGTATATAGACATAGTCTCTACTTATCTTCTGTTTTCTTCCTACTGGTATTGGGACATTCCCTATGAAATACATCCCCCTGATTTTTCAGAGTCATCACAGAGCCAACTTATTAGGGTATCATTCTCCACAATTTCACATTGAACATTTCAAAAGGCAGGAATGAGTCCGGTTGAATGTGAACAGTGTTAGGCCTCTGGGAGGAAGTGGAGGCTGTGCCCCAAGTAAGAGCAGTGGGTTGTTTTTTTTTTTCCAGTGAATCCCTTCTACCTGCTGTTACCTCTTCATTCTCCTCTACTGCTCCAAAAGACCCTACCATGCTCTAAATCTACCTATCTCTCCTTCCTTTCCTCTGTCATCAAAACTCCCATGTCCTAAGAGCATTTCGGTTTGCTTAGTAGCGATTACATAAAAGATTTCTATACTAAAGGCTCATCTGAAGGCTGTTACACTTTTTAAATCTCAGCTTTATTGGATTTCTAAGGACTCGGGATATGGAGATTTGAGAACAGGCAAACTTTCTGTTAAACTGTCCCCTTTAACCTTCTAGCACAGGGGTTGGCAAACTTTTTGTATAAAGTACCAGATAGCAGCCCTTACCACTGTAGTTCAGTTGGTTGGGCATCATCCCACAAAGTGAAACGTCGCAGGTTTGGTTCCTGGTCAGAGCACATGCCTGGGTTGCAGGTTTGGTCTCTGGTTGGGGCATGTATGAGAGGTAGCTGATCAATGTTTTTCTCCCTCTCTTTCTCCCTCCCTTCCCCTCTCTCTAAAAATAAATAATTAAAATCATTAAAAACATAAGTGCCAGATAGTGTGCATTTTAGCTTTGTTGGGCCATTTGGTTTCTATCACAATAGATAAATTTTTTAAGAAAATAGCTATGGTCCACATCTACATAAGTGGAAATGGCAGTGTCCCAATAAAACTGTTTGTAAAAACAGTGGCCTAGATTGTTGACCCTTGTTTTAACACCAGGAAGGGGGACTGTTGATGCTTTCTAGTCAATTCATGTTGACGAAGGTCTTCAGCTACAAGAAGGATAGAGGAAGGAATGCTGGGAGGTTGTGGAAATAGAAAGTGTTTTCGTTCTGCTACCACCCTTTCAACCCTTTCCTTTCTGTCTGAAAATCATTCTCAGTACCTTCCTCTCTTTCACCACCTCTGTGAAGGACCCCATCTACTGCCAGTCCTTTTGGCTTGCAGGCTGTAGGCAATGGTGGAGCTATTAAAGAATTTTAAGCAAAAGAGTGATTATTAATAAATCACAAAGTATTACTGATTTTAACTCTTAAATAAGTATCAAATTGTGCCCCTATTTCCATTCCTAATACCCCCACATGTGTTCAGGCTCTATGCTTTTACCTGAGTAAAAGTGCTATTACAGTGCATCCTACCTGGATTTCCTGGTTCCATCTGCCTTAGAGCAGATAGCCTGATCTGCCTTAAATATAGATCTGACTAAGTCACTTATCTACCAGAAATGCTTCTTTTCAGCAGTAGAGATTCAAGTCCAAACTCATGAATTGACCACATTAAGTCCCTGCCTTCCTTAGCTGCCTTATCTTTTGCCATCATTGTGCCTCAAAAGTTACGTTTCAAAGGGAACAGATTCTTCTTGGTTTCCTACCACATTATGCTGTTGTATGCCCCAGATCCTTTGCTTAAGCAGTCTTCCTTGCTTAAAAGGGAAGGCCCTTCTTCCCATTCTTCACAGACTGACTATTCTTCAAGATTCAACTCTGCTCTTGTCTCCAGGAAACCTCCCTGAATCCCTGATTGGGCCAAAGCCGCTTCTCTGAGAGCCCATCCCACCCATTACTTAACATTTATTTTTTAAAATTTTTTATTGTTTTTAGCCTCACCCCAGGATATGCTTATTTTAGAGAGAGGGGAAGGGAGGGAAAGAGGGAGAGCAACATCGATGTGAGAGAGAAGCATCAATTGGTTGCCTCTTGTGGCCCAACAGGGGACCGAACTTGCAACGTAGGTATGTGCCCTGACTGGGAATCAAACCTGTGACCTTTCAGTTTATAGGATGACACTCCAACCAACTGAGCCACACTTGGGCACTTACCTCTCATAACACCAGCCAGATTGTATTGCATTTAGCTGTGTGATTCTTTTAGAATTCATGTTTGTACCCCCAAACAACAATCATAGACTGGTGTTCATGAAATGTTCTTGATTGAATTAAAAGACTGAATGGAGCCTCTAAATTGAGCTTTGTGGTTCAGTTTTGCTGCTTAGTGGAGTCAGTGGGGAGGTATTACTGTTAAGCTATAGGTAAACCCATTTTAAAGTCATGGGTCTGCCCATCTTAGCCATGGCTTCCCCATACTGCCAGAAACCCAGTGGTATTGCCACCCAGAAATCTGGGTGTTCTTAAGTTCAGACCCAAGGAAAATCAGAAGCGTATGTTAGATATGCTTTATTTTACTTTTGACTCATTAGAGAACAACAAAATTGTAGGTCTTCTATTCATTGGTTGACCTTTTTACCTAATTTTCATGTAACGCAATAGAAATCGTGTATCAGTAAATGTCACTATTAACTCTGTAACTTTTATTTAATCATCATGTGATAGAGTATGCATGTCAGCCTTTATTTGAACTTTATATTACATAAATTATATTTTATGTGTATCTATTGATTTTATTTTAATTTGAATACAGATTTTTTTCTATTATTGTAAAGCTGCTTGTCTGTAATCTTTGTGCATTGAACATATAACTAAGCCAGGATCTAGCATATAGGTAATTGTTAGGTGTTAATATTAGAAAACAATGAGATAAAGAGGTAAGTTTTTAAAAATACACTGTATGTTATAGGTATGCAAAAACTTAAATCTCAAGTGTGGAACTGACAAGTAACAAGACGTAGAATATTTTAGTCTGTGTTAAACATTAAAAAATGCATTCATTGACATTTGTCATTGGATTTGGTGTATGTACAAAGCAGTTAACTGCTATTTTCTATTTTAAAAATTTAGGGTCAGTTGGATCTCTTAAGGAGCAATACAGGCCTTCTCTATAGAATAAAGGATTCTCAGAATGCTGGGTAAGCACCAAATTATATCATTTTAAGAAAACTTTTGCCCTTGCTGGTATGGCTCAGTGGATTGAGTGCTGACCTGCGAACCAAAGGGTTGCCAATTTGAATCCCAGTTGGGGCACAGACCTGGTTTGCAGGCCAGGTCCCCAGTAGGGGGCTCGCAAGAGGCAACCATACATTGATGTTTCTCTCCCTCCCTCTCTCTAAAAATAAATAAAATCTTTTTAAAAACTTTATTACAAAAATAATATATGCTTTTGGAAAAAAAGCCAAAACAGAATAGCATAATGTAAACCTCCTGCACATCATCCCTGTCTCCTATCATGAGTTCCATTTCCCAGAGGTAACTTGTTAATAATTTGGTGTATGTCTTCTCTTCTAGATATATATAAATACATACAGATGCTTATATATTCATATATAATCTCTTTTAAACACAAATGGGATCATGCTATCCATACTGTTTTTTTCTAAGATTTTATTTAGTTATTTTTAGAGAGGGTAAGGGAGGGAGAAAAAAAGGGAAAGAAACATCAATGTTCTAGAGAAACATCAATCAGGTGCCTCTTGCATTCCCCCAGCTGGAGACTTGGCCCTCATCCCAGGCATGTGCCCTGACCAGGAATTGAACCAGTGACCTTTTAGTTTGTGGGACCATGCCCAACTCACTAAGCCACACCAGTCGGGACTAGCCTCACTGTTTTGAAACTTTTTTTTTTAACTTGTCTCATTCTTTTTAAGGTTTGCGCTTTTTTTTGTAAACAAATCAATATGATGACTTTGTCTGCTAATTCATAAGTAGTCATGTAGATTATTAGATTACTGTGTGTCTGTTTGCCTTTCTAATTCTACTTTATTCCCCTGCAGTAAAATGAAGGGATCAGATAACCAAGAAAAACTAGTATACCAGATCATAGAAGATGCAGGAAATAAAGGTAAGCATGTGAAGGAAGAAGCAGAAAACATTGACTTTAGGACTAGATATAGGAACTGAGATCCTGTCTTCCCAGGGTATGGATCATGTGTACACCGCCATTTATGTAAAAGGGAGAAGGAAGTATACATATGTACAAGGTAGGGGAAAAGTAGGTTTACAGTTGTGAGTATGCAAAACAGTTTATTCTTGTTTTATTATTTATTAATTATTGTATTATTTTCCATATGAACAATTGTAAGCTTACTTTTGCTCTACCCTGTACTGTACATATGCTTAAAAGACTCATGAAGTGATGTCATTGTTGCCTCAAAGGAGGCAGGAGTTAGATGACTGTGGGTAGGGATGGAAAGAAAATTCTGAATGTTGAACTAGGTGATTGTATTATCCGAACTAAATAAAACTTAAGGTTCTTCTTTTTTTTTTAATCCTCACTCTCTGTGCTTTGGAAGCCTTATTTTCTTCATTTTTCTATGTAAATTGTGGATAATAACATCTGTTTGGGTTTGCCAAAAAAGACAAAGAGAGATGTGTAGTGCAGTGTGGCATTGACTAGGTCCCTCAACAGCTTTTTAGTTCCTCTATCTTCATAGAAGAACTATATCTAAATTGCTGTTACTGCACTTTAGGACCTGTTTGATCTGTTAGCTTTAATATTTATGATGTAATCTGAAACCATGTAATTTTTACATGTATTAGAAAGTTTAATTAAAATATTTTAAATAGACCTATGAAAAAGCTATTCTCTATTCAAAAAATTCTTCCTATCTCATTATGCTTCTCTGTTGTGAAGAAAATAGAGCAAAGTATTTTCACATAAAATTCTCATTTTCACTCTTTCCTTCTTTGAAAGAAAAATTAATAGCTTTCTGTACAGGACTTTTACTGGCTGTAAGAACTATAATCTTCTGTTTTTCATTTCCCCAATATAGTATTGTATAAATAATGGACAAAGCGGCTGTCATAAAGAGGTTTTTGCTCTCCCTTGAAGATAGCAGCTGACCCACCCCAAACTTAAGTTTATTTTTCACATATATAATCTGAAGTGAAATTTAAAGAAAACAAAAGTTGAGGTGCAGGAGGGAATAGAAGAGCCAATATAATATAGTCAAGCACCACTTAACTACATGGATAAGTTCTGAAAATGCATTGTTAGGTGATTTCATTATTCTTTTTGCAAACATTATAGAGTTCACTTAAACAGATGGTATAATCCATCCTGGCTGGGTAACTCAGTTGGTTATAGCATTGTTCCGATGAGCCAAGGTTGTGGGTTTAATCCCCAGTCAGGGTACATAGGAGAAGTAACCAAGGAATACGTACGTACGTAAGTAAGTAGAGCAATAAGTTGATGTTTCTCTCTTTCTCTCTCTCTCAAATCAATAAATAAAAGATCTCACCTTTAACAGGAAGCTAAACAACAAAACAAACAAGCAAGCAGAATAAAAACAAAGACACTGAAATAGAGGACAAGGGGACAAGAGGGAAGAGGGAAGGGAATTTAAGGGGGAAAAAAGGGGAGGGATTTGGAGGAACAAATATGAAGGACACAGGAACGAGAACTAAGGGGGGTGGAAATGGGAGGGAGGTGGGAGCACAGGGCTGGGGGGGAGGACTGGGATGGGAGAAGTAGACAAAAAACTGTACCTGAAAAATAACTAAATAAAATTATTTTAAAAAAATTTTTTTAAAGAAAGTAGACTTAGATTGTATAAATCTGCTACACACCTAGACTGTAATAGTGTAGACTATTGCTCCTAAGCTATAAGCCTATACAGCATGTTACTGCAGAAAGCAACATGAGGTTAAATCATGCACTAGAGAAAAGGGTACAATCAACAGACACAGTAAATCTGATTTGTATGAGGTTACTGCAGCATACTGTTATACAGCAAACTTTTTTTATAAGTAAAAAGTATACTCTAAATTATTTACAATAAGTAAATATATACATCAGTAACATAGTCATTTACCATCATCAAGTATTATGTACTGTAGTAGTTGTATATGCTGCATATTTTATACAGCTTGCAGATTTGTGTACACCAGCATCACCACAAACACATAAGTAATGACTTGGGCTACAACGTTAGAACAGCTGTGATGTCAATAGGTGATAGAATGAATATTCAGCTCCATTAAAATCGTATGGGACTTCCAGTATATATGCAGTTTATCATTGAGTGAGATGTCATTATGTAGTCCAAAACTACATTAATTCAGTAACATTTCAGCATTTTTCTTTCATTACAAAAGTGTCCTTTTCATTTGTTTTTTAAAAGATGCCATGTTAGGATTCCAAGAAATTTTCAGTTGCTAAATAGAACATATGACTTAGGTATTGTTTTTGCCTATTTTTGGTACTCTATCTCAGATTATTTCTTCTAAGTCACTTAATTTTTCCAATAGCTAAGCAGTAGGAGTATATACATACATATTTTGCTAGTTTTGGAATGAGATATAAGCAATGGGGATTATAAATACAAATCCTAGAGTTTTCAACTTATTTTATTTTACTTTCTCATAGGAATATGGAGCAGAGATATCCGGTATAAAAGTAATTTGCCATTAACAGAAATTAACAAAATTCTAAAGAATTTGGAAAGTAAAAAGCTTATCAAAGCTGTTAAGTCTGTGGCAGTGAGTAGTGTTCTCTTTTTCTTCTCTCAAATGTTGGCTGTACATATATTGCTCCAGGTATATTTCAGGGTTTTTAAAAATTGTTATTTAAGCTATGTTGTGATTTAAAGTTGTGGTCAAAAAAGATTTTAAAAATTTAGCTCATTAGTTTGGAGGCGCTGCTTAGTTAGATGTAGCACTGTCTAGTTGTCTAACCACTCAAAAATCTAAAGCTATTCAGGACAATTTTTGGAATCATGAACATTTTTCCTGGATTTTGTGATACATAAGAGAATTTACCTCATCCTGGCATATTAGATAGCTCATTGAACAAATATTGACTGTGTGTTTGCTATGTGCCAGGCACTGTTTTGTGTGCTTGGGATACATTATTAAACCAATCAGAGAAAGATCCCTGCTCTGGTGGAGCTTCTGTTCCAGTAGATAGTGTTTCTCCTTCTCATCCCGTCCACTTGTCACGTCCTTCAGGGGCTCCATACTCCCCAGCTGGGTCTATCAGAGACATCTGCTATTGACCTCACTGATTTAGGATTAGAGGAGCCAGGATTTCCCCAGACTAAAGTTGGCTTGAACACAAATTTTAGCATTTAAGAATTTGATATTCATGCAATTGGTACAGCTTCTATGAGAAACAGGATGGAGGTGCCTCAAAACAATTAAAAATGGAACTGCCTTATGACTCAGCAGTTCCACTTCTGGGTAAATATCTGAAGAAACCCCAAACACTGATTCAATATGTGCACCCCTATGTTCATTGCAGCATCATTTATAATAGCAAATATATGGAAACAACCTAAGTGTCCATCAATAGATGGAGAGATAAAAAAGAATGGAGTCTTATCACTGGTGACAGCATGGGTGGACCTAGAGAGTATTATACTAAGTGAAATTAGACAGAGCAAGACAAAGAAAATGTATGATTCTAGTTATATGTGGAACCTAAAGGAAAAAAATATATGAATAAACAAATAGAAACAGAGTCATCGATACAGAGAAGCAATTGCTGGTTGCCAGAGCATAAGAAGAGTTGGTAGGCTGGGTGCAAAGGTGAAATATGTAAGTATAGATTGGTAGTTACAAAATAGTTACAGGTGTGTAAAGTACAGCATAGGGAATATAGTCAATAATGTAGTAACTATCATGGTGCCAGGTGGGTACTTGAAATACTGGGAGGATCACTTTATAAGGTATATGATTGTCTACCCACTATGCTGTACACCTGAAAATAATATAAACCAATATTGAATGTCAAATGTAATTGAAAAATAATATTTTTTAAAAACCAGGTGAACCGCAAAAAAAAAGATTTAATATTCATTTGATATTATTTAATCAATGATATTTATGTCATACCACTGTCTAAATTAGAATGTTATTTCTCTTCCATATTTTTAATGGATAATTTTCTATCATTATAAAAGTAAAGAAAATAACATAATGAATCCCCACATACCCATCACCTAGCTTGATTTCGACAGTTCTCCTACATCTTTATTTTTAATAGCTTCATTGAGATATAACTTATATATCATAAAATTAATCCTCTTAAAGTGTATGATTTATTGGGTTTTACTGTTTTCACAGAAAAACGCAACTATCATATTCTTGTAATTTTAGAACATGTTTATCACCTCAAAATGTGACCCCAGGGAGGCTAGCAGCCACTCCCTAGCCTCCCTGCCCCCAGGCCCTGACAACCACTAAGGTGCTTTCTGTCTCTATAAATTTGCTTATTCTGGACATTTCCTATAAATGGAATTATACAATATATTGTCTTTTGTGTCTGCTTTCTTTCACTTAGCATCATGTTTTCAAGATTGCAGAATAAAGTAGTATAAATATTCATTAATCCATGCCAACAGATAAATGTTTGAATAAATAAATAAATGGGGCAGATTAGACAAATCTTTCATGTAGAAAAATTCCAAATAATTTATGTAGACATTTTACCGTAAAGGAAGTAAAACATAATTCCCAATTCTTAACTGGACTGTGCATCCAAGAAAGGGCAGGAGAAAAAGTAACTACAGTGAAGAAAAGTGAGAATCACTGCTTTTAGACAAGAAATTATAGTTAATATCAACACTGACAAGTCATACTGTTGACAATCAGTCATCACTTGGTGATAATCAAATACCCTTGATATGATGTGATAAGAAGGTCATTTGACCTCTGTGGTGTTTTTTTGTCCAGTCTAATTATCAGAAAAACATCATATAAATCCCAGTTAAGGGCATCCTATAGAATACCTGACTAGTAATTCTCAAAACTGGCAAGTTCATCAATAAGACTGAGAAATTGTCACAGCTAGAAATTGCCCCAGGAGCCTTACTAAGTCTAATATGGTATCTTAGATAGAATCCTAAACCATAAAAGGGATATTATGGAAAAATTAAGGAAATATGAATAAAGTATAGTTTAGTGCATAATAATATATCAATATTGGTTCATTAATTGTGACAAATATACCCTCTTCATGGAAGATGTCAATAATATGGAAATTATTACAAGGTAAATGGAAATTTTATATCATTTTTTACAATAATCTTGTAAATCTAAAACTCTTAAAACATAATTTTTTTTCCCAATCCCAGTTTTGGGAGACTGTGAGCTTATAACCACATCTGCTGTGCATGTTTTTTCCTAGGCCTCAAAAAAAAAGGTATATATGCTCTATAACCTGCAACCTGACCGGTCTGTGACTGGTGGAGCCTGGTATAGTGACCAGGATTTTGAATCTGAATTTGTAGAGGTACTTAACCAACAGTGTTTTAAGTTCCTGCAAACCAAGGTAAGGCATAATTGAGTAAACAGTAATGTACTAAACAAAATATTTTCTGCTTTTGATTTTGCTCTGTATAAATTATATTTAGAAAATGCTAGTATTCTTGCTGAGATTTATGTTTCTACCCTTATAGGCAGAAACAGCACGAGAAAGCAAACAGAATCCAATGATACAAAGAAATAGTTCTTTTGCATCATCACACGAAGTATGGAAATATATCTGTGAATTGGGAATCAGTAAGGTTAGAACTCAGTTTCTAATTTTAATCTTATTTTTAAAAACTTGTTTATCATAGGGATATAGTTTACAATGTGTTCCAAACATATTTGAACTAGATCCTTTTTTCAGGTGATAACTTGTAAATATTCTGTAGAACCCACTTTGAGAAAGCACTGTCCTGAGCTAGTTAGGCAAACATGGTCATTGCCATTGGCACTGCTTAACTGTATGTGAGCTTCAGAGATAGAGCACCAGAGTGGGGGCCTGGCAGTGCATTTCACTGTCAGAATTGTAAAGTCTGTTCTGGTAAGTTCTTGATTTTGTCAGGCACATTTCAACATACATGCTAAACATAAGTCATTGTGTCAGTTGTCATTTATTGGTATTTTCCATCTTATGAGAAGCAAGCAGTGTTATCATACTTTTTAAAGACCTATACATAAGGAAATTATGCTGGATGCTTTATAGTTGGAGAAGAAATTGAAATGGACACTTGGACATGTCATTTTCATTTCCCAAATTTTTCATTTGTTAAGAAAAACTATGAATTTTGACTAAAGACTTTGATGTCTATGTAAATGTCTATCAAGTTCTTGCCAAACAAATGTTACTTTACAAGACTTCCAGATTTTACTCATAAGAGTAAATTTATCAGCAAGTGTCAAACTCAGTTTGAGGTAAGTGTTCTGTCCCCAGCATGAGTGGTTTGTGCTAAATTGGACCATTGTTCAACCTCCTTGTACTTTTGATTACTTGCCAGCATAATGCTTCCCCATTTCGCTAAGGAATTGTGACCATATACTGTTTTTAACCCCCTCCAAAAGAATGTCTCCTTGTCCTTTCTGTTTCCTTTTTCATACATTCCCTTTTATAGGTAGAGTTGTCCATGGAGGACATTGAAACCATCTTGAATACACTCATCTATGATGGGAAAGTGGAGATGACTATCATCGCTGCAAAAGAAGGCACAGTTGGCAGTGTAGATGGACACATGAAACTCTATAGGGCAGTCAATCCAATCATCCCACCTACGGGTTTGGTTCGGGCCCCCTGTGGACTCTGTCCGGTGAGTTGAAGTGACTTCACTTTATACCTGACTGCCACATAATGTACCAGCAAAAGCACACCCCATTTTCTCACTCTCAGGATTGACCAAGATCTCAAACCTCTATGTCATGTTGATGACAGACATTTAATGAACAAATCTTGCCTTGCATAAGAAATTTGTACTGGCCCTGAAATGGATGCTTTTTGACAAGCATTAATTATTTAACCTAAGTAGGGTGGAAGTGAGATTTGTTGAGAATGTACCATGGCCAGACATATTTTTGAAGATTTATGTGGTTTCATTTAATCCTCCTTGTGTCCTTTTGAGCTAGTGGTGTCATTTCCTCTTAAGTAGAAGGGAAGTTAAGCTAAGGAAAACCTAAGCATGTAGCTTCGAAGTAACAACCATGCTCCAACACTCTTTATTGATTCATTCCCATTTAGCTTATGAGTGTCAACTGTGTGCTATAGGTACTATCCTGGCCCTCATCACATTTATATTTTTGGGCTGCTAGTCTATGTTTTATTTCATGAGACTGGTCCCTTTTATACTTCTAAACAATCTATGCCATGGTTTCAATTATTAGAAAAAAGGCTAGCATATTAGGAATTCTATTTAGCATCCCTTCACAAAAAGGAAAGCTAAACATGAGACATTTGGTAAGTCAAAAGTAAGTCATTCTTACTTATAGGTCTTCCTTCTTGTATTCCTGTGTTACCCACTGATAGCCTTTTTCCCAGTGGGCAGGTGAACATGCTCATCTTTACGCTATAGTAAAAGATTTCCCATTAACTAATTCTGTGATCACAGAGCAGGTCGTATTATAGTATTGTATGTTCTTAAGTACAATCCCAATCTTTCATTTTGAAAGTTTTGATTTTAATAGTACTTGAAATAAATAGTTGGGTCTTGGATGTTTTTGTATTTTGCGTTAGCAGAAATTTGAGTTATAGTTGGCATTTAATTTGACATTACCTAGTGTAATAATTTTAAAACTTTGGTTTGAGTATAAACTTTTTTCTTTTAAAGGTTTTTGACGACTGCCATGAAGGTGGTGAGATTTCGCCATCCAACTGTATTTATATGACAGAGTGGCTTGAATTTTAATACAGAGCTATGAACTTTACTGACATTTTGCAAATAAAGTTACTTTGGGAGCAAATAAATAACTTCATGCATGATGGAACATCAAATTCCATTGAAAATAAATTTCACAGTAGTGGATACAGACTTGCTGCTATGAAAATATATACTATTTTATCTATGAAGATTAAGCTTATATTGGTAAAGTGGTCAAGAGAATATAAAGCAGGTAAGGTTAGTAGTGAAATCTCTTGTTCAGTAAATAAAACACTCTGAAGTTCTGGAGGACATCTTCTGAAGCCTTTAAGACTTGTGATTGTTCAAGAAAAAAGAAGCCAACAGATCCACATATATCAATGGATAATGGTTATAGAGCCTAAAAATGCCTGTTTTAAAGTTATTTATTAAGGTCTTCATTGGCAATTGCTTATATCTGGCTCACTATCACTATTTCTGTTTTCTCAGTGATTCTGTTGGGAAGAAATTAAAACAGGGAATGCAGGAATAGCAGAGCAGTGTACACAAATTTGAGGTGTGAAGGGAGGAGAGAGTTGAAACAGCACTTTTCCATATAGTTAATTCCTTTTTATGTCAGAAATATTTTTCAGAGGATTATGCCACTGTATTTACTTCAGCCTAATGGTGAATTATGTTTTCAGTACATAAATGGTGTCATATTCATGTTAAAGGATTCTTTTCACTAGACCTTTGTTAGAGTTTTAGAAGTTCGTTCTGTGGCTCAGTTGTATTACTTACTAGAATTTTTCCCTAGATTCTTTAACTGAAATTAAAACTAAAAATAACCATTGCCCTCCACTCACACTTTATTTTGGGGAGGGGTAACATTCTTCTTTTCTTGTCTCCTTTTAAATTTATTTCCTTACTCTGTTCTAAAAATCATGGTGTAATATGTCTAAACTGAGCAGAAAGCCATCATAATGGTCTTCAGTTCTAATGGCACTTTAAATTCCAGTGTTTAACCATATGGAAAACACTAGCTTATTTGATGTAGTTACACAGAAGTTAGCTAGAGGGCTTTTCAGGATCTTTGTTGTATTTTCCTTTTTAATTCCATTTAAAAGTTTCTATGTCTCGGCCAAAAGCATCATACCAAAGAAAAGGAGTTCAAACTCAGCTACTCCTGAGGCTGACCTCAAACACCAGTTTGGAGATACTCTAAGTGGGCAGCCATCAGAAGAATTATTATGTGATAAATGGGATTAGTAAAGTCAGCCCAGTAACCAATTTTTAGGAACTAGATGAATTCTGTGGTCAGCTGTATAAATTACTTTTTGATGGCACTACTCTTAGAAACAAAGGTCATTTTTTAGTATTAGAGGTAGGTATAGAGATATAGATATAGATATAGATATGATACAGACAATCTGGGAGCCTGCAACTGCAGGTTTCTCTTCTATCCCCAGTGAGAGTTGGAATGGTAATACCAATATCTCTCCTTCCTGGGACCTGGTCTATCACAGAGGCATAGTCTTATTTAATAAGCAACCTAAACTTGGAGGAGAATTAGAATTGGAAAGCAGGAAACAGTTTCTTTTTATAGCCATTATTGTTACTTTTCTTTTTTTATTGTTCAGTTACAGTTGTCCCCATTCCCACCTATTGTTCTACCCCGCCCCATCCAGCCTTCCTCACCCTGCCCTGCTCCCAGAGCCATTCCTTACCCCATTGTCCTTGTCCATGAGTCCTTTGTACATGTTCCTTGACTTGACCCTTCCCCTTGTTTCCCCCATTATCCCTATTCCTCCTCCACTCTGGTCCCTGTCAATTTGTTCATTATTTCCATGTCTATGGCTCTTTTGATTACGTTCCACTTATAGGTGAGATTATAAGGCATTTGTCTTTCACTACCTGGCTTATTTTACTTAGCAAAATACTCATTTCCATCCATGCTGTACTGAAGGGTAGGAGTTCTTTCTGCCTGTAGTATTCCAACATGTACAATACCACCATTTTTTAATCTGATTTACTGATGGGCACTTGGGCAATTTCCAGCACTTGGCTATTGTAAATAGTGCTGCTATAAACATAGGGGTGTGTAGGTTCTTTTGAATTTGTGTTTCAGGATTCTGAGGGTATAATCCCAGCAGTGGAATTACTGGATCAAAAGGGTAGTCCATTTTCAGATTTTTGAGGGAATTCCATACTGTTCTCCACAGTGGTTGCACCAGTCTGCATTTCCACCAACAGTTACTAGGGTTCCCTTTTCTCCACAACCTCCCAGCACTTGTTTATTGATGTGTTTATGATGGCCATTCTAACTGGTGTGAAGTGGTATGTCATTGTGGTTTTAATTTGCATCTCTGATGGCTAGTGATGTTGAGTGTCCTTTCATATGTCTCTGGGCCATCTGTATGTCCTCCCTGGAGGTATCTGTTTAGATCCTTTGCCCAATTTTTAATTGTATTGTCTGTCTTCCTGGTGTGGAGTCATGTGAGTTCTTTATATATTTTGGAGGTCAAATTCATGTCTTAGGTATCATTGGCAAATATGTTTTCCCACACACTTGGTTCCCTTTTTATTTTGCTGATGTTTTCTTTAGCCATGCAGAAGCTTTTTAATTTAGTATTGCCCCATTTGTTTATTCTTTCCTTCATGTCCCTTGTGCCAGGGCAGATATTGGTGAAAATGTTGCTGCATGGGATATCTGAAATTTTCCTGCCTATGTTCTTTAGGACTTCTATGGTATCATTTATATTTAAGTCTTTTATGTATCTTGAGTTTATTTTTGTGTATGGTGTAAGTTGGTGGTCGAGTTTCTTTCTTTCTTTTTTTTTTGCATGTACCTGTCCAGATCTCCTAATACCTTGTATCCATGAGGCTACTTTTACTCCATTTTATGCTCCTGCCCCCTTTATTGAGTATTAATTGATCATAGGGACATGGGTTTCTTTCTGGGTTCTCTATTCTGTTCCACTGATCTTTGTGTCTGTCCTTATGCCTGTACCAGACTGTTTTGATTACAGCAGCCTTGTAACATAGTTTGATATCAGGTATTGTGATCCTGCCTACTTTGTTCTTCTTTTTCAAAATTGCTGAGGCTAGGACTTCCGCCAAGATGGAAGCGTAGGTGGAAACACCTTGCGTCTGCGCACAACCAAATCTAAAAACAACAAAGTTTTAACAACAAACGCAATCAAACCACACAGAAAATCAACAGTACGGAGTCCGAAAACAACAAAATGCTCAGCTAAACCAGTAAGAGGGGCGAAGCCAGCAGCGGAGCATGTTGGCCAAAAAGATCCCCAACCGGGGTCGTGCACAAGCAGCCGGAGGCATGGATCCCAGGTGCGGGCTAGCTACCGGCAGACACCGGGAAGAGGCACGGCTGGCTGTCTGCGGTGAGTCGAGCATTTGCTTGCAGATAAACCAATGAAGAGGCGAGCATTGAGACCACAGGGCGCAGGGTAGCGGGCTCGCACATTTCCGCTCAGATCAACAGAGGGGGGCGAGCAGAGAGGACCGCCATTGCTCCCTCTCTGGCCCCGCCCTGGTAAACAACTAAGGCTCTGCTCCTCATACGTAACAGGCACAAACAGATAAAAATGTGGCTCAAGAACAACTCAGAGCCCATAAATCTAAGCGACCAAGAAATAGCCAAACTTTCAGATGCACAGTTCAAAACACTGGTGATCAGGATGCTCACAGAACTGGTTGATTTGGGTCACAAATTAGAGGAACATATGAAGGCTAAACTAATTGAAATGAATGGAAATGCACAGGAAACCAATAGTAATAGAAAGGAAACTGGGACTCAAATCAAAGGAGTGGGCCAGAAAGAGGAAAAAAGTGACCAAACAGAAAAGGATGAAGAAACAAGAATTCAAAAAAATGAGGAGAGACTTAGGAACCTCCAGGACATGTTTAAACGTTCCAACATCCGAATTATAGGGGTACCAGAAGGGGAAGAGGAACAACCACGAGTGAAAAACTTATTTAAACAAATAATAAAGGAGAATTTCCCCAATCCGGCAAAGGCAATAGACTTCCAGGAAATCCAGGAAGCTCAGAGTCCCAAAGAAGTTGGACCCAAGAAGGAACACACCAAGGCACATCATAATTATATTAGCCAAGATTCAAATGAAGGAGAGAATTCTAGAAGCAGCAAGAGATAAGGGGACAGTCACCTATAAAGGAGTTCCCGTCGGACTGTCAGCTGATTTCTCAAAAGAGACCTTATAGGCAAGAAGGGGCTGGAAAGAGGTATTCCAAGTCATGAAAACCAAAGACCTACAACCAAGATTGCTCTATCCAGCAAAGTTTTCATTTAGAATGGAAGGACAGATAAAGTGCTTCTCAGATAAGATCAAATTCAAGGAGTTCATCATCACCAAGCCCTTATTATATGAAATGTTGAAGGGATTTACCTAAGAAAAAGAAGATAAAAAAGATGGACAGTGAAAGGACAGCAAACTCAGTTATTAACAACCACACCTAAAACAAAAGCAAATTAAGAGGACAGCTAGATCAGGAGTGAACCATAGAAATGAAGATCACGTGGAGGATTAGCAACAGGGGAGTGGGAGAAGTGGGGAGAAGGTACAGAAAATAAGTAGCATAGACAGTAGATAAAAAATAGGGGGGAGGGTAAGAATAGTAGGGGAAATACAGAATCTAAAGAACTTGAGACAGGTGTTCATGAACTAAAGGGGGGATGGTGGGGGAGGGGTGTGCAGGGTGGAGGGGAATGGAGGGGGGAAATAGAACAAATGTAATGGCATAATTAAAAAAAAAAGTGAGAGTCTTACAAACCTCTGGGACACCCTGAAATATTCCAACATTTGAATTATAGAGGTGCTAGGAGGAGAACAACAGCAAGAAATCAAAAACTAACTTGAACAAATAATAAAGGAAAACTTTCCCAATCTAGTGAAGGGAATGGACTTCCAGGAAATCCAGGAAACTCAGAGAGTCCCATAGACATTGAACCCAAAGAAGAACACATCAAGGCACGTCATCATTAAGTTACTCAAGATTAGAGACAGAGAATTTTTTTTAAGATTTTATTTATCTTTAGAGAGGAAGGAGGGAAGGGGAGAGGGAGAGTAACGTCAATGTATGGTTGCCTTTCATGCATCCCCTGCTGGGAACTGGCCTGCAGGGAATCGGCCTGCAACCCAAGCATGTGCCCTGACTGGGAATCAAACCTTGATAATGTGGTTCGCAGGCCCGAGCTCAATCCACTGAGCTACACCAGCCAGGGCCAAAGAGAATCTTAAAAGGAGCAAGAAATAGGAGAGAGTTACCTACAAAATGGTATCAAAGGAATCAGTATGACCAGCAAATAAGAAGAGCTCAAAAAAAAAAACATATCACATAATGTACAGACCACCCATGGAAAAAAAAGAAAAACAGCCCATGGACATGAACTAAGCAGGGAATGCTGGTGAGTTGAGGGGAGGATAAAGGGGGAAAATTGGGAAAACTAATCGCACAACCAATAAAAAAATACTTAATAAAAGAGAAAGGAAAATGTAAGAAAAAATTTAAAAACTGCCGAGGCTATTCGTTGTTGTTTATTGTTCCATACATTTTTGAAATACTTCTTCTATACATGTGAAATATGTCATTGGTACTTTAATGGGGATTTCATCAAATCTATAAGTTGCTTTGGGTAGTGTGGACATTTCGATGATGTTAATTCTTCTAATCCACAAACACAGTATATATTTGCACTTATTTGTGTCTTCCTTAATTTCTTCAGTGTTCTGTAGTTTTGTAAGTAGAGGTCTTCCATCTCCTTGGTTAAGTTTATTCCTGGGTACTCTATTTTTCTAGGAACTGGTTTTAAATCCAACTTGGCATTGTGTCTTGATAACCAGAGATTATCATTTTTTAATCCTCACTGAAGGACACTTTTATTGCTTTTTATAGAGACAGAAGGGGAGAGAGGCAAGAAAACATCAACTGGTTGCCTCTCATGTGCACCCCAACCAAGGATCAAACCTGCAACCTTTTGGTCTATGGGATGACAGCTCCAATCAACTGAGCCACACTGGCCAGGACCAGAGATTGATTTTTAAAGCTTACAATCAGTAGCTAAAACATAAAAGTATCCATCCCTTGCTTCAATAGGAAATAAAAATCTCTCTAAACATTTTTCTCATAGCATGTTTTATTTTTTAGAGATTTATTTTTTATTGTTTATTCTAATATCACATGTTTTAAATTCTGAATTTAACTGAAGGAGAACAGAGGTCATTTTAAAATATAGCACTTCTGATGATAGTTAATTGTATATTATATACAGGAGTAATCTTTGACCAAAACAGTGAGACTCTAGACTCATGACCATACCAAAAAAATCAAATTGTGAGTGAAGTCCTAATCCTTGCAGTTAATTTTCATTTAGTATAAGGTGTTTTGCTCACCTGAGGATAGATATTCCCTGGAGTCTATCAAGGCCTTGCTATGGTTAATAGTGATCCATGATACAGTCAAAGGGAATCATGAAAATCTATGATTTGATGGCTTAAATGAATAGTTTATGTGGGATTCTTCCACAAAACTACTCTGATCTTAGTTTGGTGAGGAGTAAATTTTGTAGAGCCAAGAGTTTTATAGTAATAAACTAAGCAAACTAGAAGTAAAATAGAAGTAATTTCAAGTTAGTCATTTACTCATTATTGATGGTAGATGAGAGGAATATAAAATACATACCTTAGACTCTAGTGCTGTCCAATAGAACTTTCTATAGCAGTGATTTTCAACCTATTTTTTCATGGTATTCATAAACTATACTAAAATTCTGTGGCACACCAAAAGTATTTTTTGCCAATCTGACCAAAAAAGTATAATTTTGATTCTTTCACACTGGATGGCTATTGTTTTTGTTGTCATTTTTAAAATTTGACAATCTAAAGGGCAGGTGGCAAACACAAGGCCTATGGGTGGAATCTGGCCCTCCGCCTTGTTTTATCTGGTCTGGTACCTTGTTTCTACCCAGTGGCAGTGCTGAGCTCTCACTTAACTGTTAAGGAGTAGTTACATTTATACAGTTCTAAAATTACATTTGGCCCTTTGAAGGCAAATACAAAATTGATGTGGCCTCCAGTGAAAATGAGTTTGACACCCCTCATCTAAAGGGAAAGCTGACTGTTCCCCTGACTAAACAGTCAGGTATTGCATGTTTTTGTTGCTGTTGTAGATTTTTCATTTTTATTTGTTGAGTTTAGAGAGAGACTGAGGAAGGGAGATAGAGAAACATCCATTTGTTATTCCACTTATCCATGCATCCATTAGTTGATTCTTCCATGTGCTGCCCCTACTGGGAATCAAACATAGTCTTGGCATTTTTCTTTCTTTTTTTTAAAAAAAAAATTTATTTATCTTTAGAAGGGAAGGTAAGGAGAGAGGGAGAGAAACATCAATGTATGGTTGCCTCTCATGTGTCCCCTGCTGGGAACTGGCTTGCAACCCAGGCATGTGCCCTGACTGGGAATTGAACCATGATCCTCTGGTTCGCAGGCCTGCGCTCAATCCACAGCTACACCAGCCAGGGCTAGTCTTGGCATTTCTTGTTTTTCAATTTTTATTTGTTGATTTTAGAGAAAGAGAAAGGTATTGCATGTTTTCAAAATTCATGTGGCACACCAGTTGAAAGTTACTGGTCTGTAGACTAGAAATTGTTAAGAGGCAATACTAGGGATCATAATAGGCAAAAAATTATCAGAAAATGAAAAAGGATTTTTTTGATGGATCATGATCAGAAGAAAAATCATAGAATGATGCTTGAAAGAGGTCTAAAGGGCCCTGGCCAGTGTGCTCAGTGGATTGAGCATGGGCCTGCGAATCAGAGGATCGAGGTTCAATTCCTAGTCAGGGCCCTCTCTCCTTCCCTTCCCCTCTAAAGATAAATGAATAAAATCTTTTTTAAAAAAAAAGGAAAGAGAGAGAGCTAAAGGACCACAGAGGTTAAAAGGCAGAACTCCACAGAACAAAAATTTGAGGAATGGAAAGATTATTTAAAAAAATAAGACTGGCCCTGGCTGGTATAGCTCAGTGGATTGAGCACGAGCCTGTGATGCAAGGGGTCACTGGTTCTATTCCTGGTCAGGGCACATGCCTGGGTTGCAGGCCAGGTCCCCGGTAGGGGACGCGTGAGGGGCAACCACACATTGATGTTTCTCTCCCTCTGTTTCTCCTTCCCGTCCCCTCTCTCTAAAGATAAATAAATAAAAAATTAAAAAAAAAATAAGACCGTAACAAAATCCAAATTGTTTCCATGACTTCATCCTTTGATATTATGTTCATTTCTCAGGCTTTATAGAGAATCATTTAAAACACCTGGCTAAGTTAATATTTATAGGCCACAAATGGATGGATTGGACTTTGTGTGTATTGCAGTGTTTTTATATTTTTTATTTATACTTTAGTTGCCAGCTAATCCATATGTATATAAACTGTACATAATTTGTGTACCTATGGATTAATATATATACATATATCTTCCCTGAATATAAAAACCACTGTATAAAGTTTTTTTTCTTGAAAAATCAGAAAATTGGCCACACTTTCCACATGACATGAGTTCTCCACATTGCCCTTACCTTTTCCACTGAGGGCTTATACAAAATAGGTGACTGCTCATATTCCCTAACTGATCCTTGCAAACCCCTGCCTCATAGCATCCTTATAATTTATTCTCTCTCAACTTTTTTGAAGGACTCGAGGGTGGCGGGGCATGGTGCCAAAGGTGAAGGCCTCAGTCTGAGTTTAATATCCTGGGCCAGCTCTAAACAAGCAGCTAGTATTCTGAGCTCCAAGCCAACACTCTGGACCTTTAGTCATGTTTTCTTTCTCCAATAAAATAGAAAAGTTTTACTTCAAAAAGGAGTAAAACTCTTATAACATATATGAAGTCTATGTAGTTTTAATCTGGACTGGGAGTCAGGAAACCTGGGTTCCATTTCTGTCTTACTCACTGGATGTCTGAGATGTCCTTACCAAGGTATGTTAAGGGAAAATACTGCTTTAGTTCATAGCAAGTTGGGGAGATGGAGAGTCCACAGAAAATGGAAATGCTGTTTGTAATTTAGTTTGAACATTGAAACCAATGTTTGTTTTTGAAGGCATTTTTTATGATTATAATCTGATAATTGCTCTATTATATTGGTTTGCAAAACAGCAGAAATCATTGTGCCTGTGCTGGTACTTTCAGCATAGACTTTACCACATTAATCAGTTCGGGAAAATCCATATTCTGAAAGTGGCCACGGTCAGTGAATCTGTACAATTTGGCTTCCAACCTGTCAGCCACTTCTTGTTGTTCCTTCCAGGGAAGGAAAGGATCATCAGTGGAGCCAAACTGTACAATGTGAGGGCAGTTAGCTTTGATCTTCTCCCACTGCCAGGGGCGGTTGAAGTATCCTATGGGGGAAAATACATACAACCTATCAGTGCCTCTGGGTAGTTTCCATTCTAGACATTTAAAAATATCTAGTGAAGCCCTGGCTGGTGTAGCTCAGTGGATTGAGCGCAGGCCTGCGAACCAGAGGATCGAGGTTCGATTCCCAGTCAGGGCACATGCCTGGGTTGCAGGCCAGTTCCCAGCAGGGGACGCACAAGAGGCAACCATGCATTGATGTTTCCCTCCCTCTCTCCTTCCCTTCCTCTCTAAAGATAAATAAATTTTTAAAAAATCTAGTGAAGACCATAGCAAGAGACACAAAGAATCAGAACCTAAGTGGTTTTCAAATCTGTAGGGCTTGATACCATAACTATTTGTGAAGGGGAAGTATATGGCTCAGATAGGCCTCAAGGGTTCCATTCTAGACTATGGATTAGAAATGGTCTACCACCTCTCAAAGTGCCAAGCTTATATCTAGATGGGTAGTAAACATTTTTCATGTGCTATTACATTTTTTTAGCCTATCTGAAAGAATGCTTGTTCGGAACCTGAATAACCAGCCCTGTGACTAGCGGAAGGCCTTTTTCTGGGGTTTTTGCCTTCAGACTTACCACTTGCACGCTCATTTTCATCCCCCAAGTCTGACGTGTATGCAGACACTAATACAATGGCATATACTCGATGTGTTTCTGCATACCTGGAGAGAGAAATGATGTCAGCTAAAACATAATGTTAAATCTGATCACCAAAAAGTCAGTTAACCACCTGAAAACTCATTTGTTTTAGTTTACAGGAAGCATGTGCTATGCTGTTGAAGTTAAAATGAAAAATAGTAAGGAAACTGCCGAATTACAAACCCAATGGTTAATCACTTAACCATGGCTACTAGATGAGTTTCTGCTCATTTTTTCAAGGTAGTCTAAACCTCTTCTGCAGTCCTTTCCAAATAAACAAAAAGTATAACCATTTTCTTTCATTTATGCATTAATCTACCTGTAATATGCATCAACATGTAGATTTCCAGGCTTAGTCCCAGAGCATGTATTCACAAGTTTGGGATCGAGCATTTTAAGGCACAGCACCTCCCCCAACCCAACCGTATTTTAAGAAACACTATGCAATAGCAGAAAGGTATCTCTTTTACCACTCACTCCACATCGTCATTCAGCCCAGACCTAACAGGCTTATTCAGTCAGCTAAGTCCCTAAACCATAGGCCTTAAAAACCTAAAGAGAGAGAGAGATGATGTTCTGTGGAGAGCATCAGGGATATATATCCATAAATCCTAAGGACTGGGGTGTTAAGAAGGGAAGGAGTAACAGCCTCTAACTGCCAACAACTATTGAACACCTACCATATGCAGGACAGGGACTGTGGTTTCAATGTCAGAGTGAACAAAGTCCACCCTCATGGACCTTACATTCTATTGGCAGGGGACAGACAAATAAACAGGATGTCAGATGGTGAAGAGTGGTATAGGTAGTAAGGAGGATAATAAGATATAAAGGGAATACAAACCAGTTGAGTGAGGTTGCTGTTTCATATGGAGTGATTAGAAGACCTCACTGAAATGCCCTGGCCCTGTAGCTCAGTTGGTTAGAGCATCATCCTGATAGGCCAAGGTTGTAAGTTTGTTCCCCGTCAAGGCACATACAAACGTCAACCAATGAATGTGTAAATAGATGAAACAACAAAAATCAATGTCTGCCTGTCACCAGTAAATAAAAATTGAAACAACAAAAAAGGCCTCAGTAAAAGGGTCCTAAAGAGTAGGAGAAAGCTATACAACTATTTAGGGATGGAGTTCCAGGTAGAACAAGTACGGGCCTAAGGTAGACAGATGCATACTTGGCACGTTAAGGAACTGCAGTGAGGCCTGTAAAGCAGCCTGGGGGCAGTAAAGGTAGAGATGACATCAGTGGTACTTGGGAGCCTTGAAGACCGAGGAATTTTTCTGAAGGGATGGTCAGCTGCTGGGGTTGGAGCCACTTGTTTTAAAAATATCACTCAGTAAAAGAAAAATAAAATCACTATCCAAACCAGAAAGGAATTAGGACAGATTATGTTACCACTTTTGAGGTTAACACTTTTTCCTCTACAGTGGAAACCAGATATACACAAAGTGTTTTCTGAAACAAGTTTGGTTGAAGCCCACAGAAGGGGGTGGTGGTAATTCAACAAGGATCATACCTCATGGCTGCAATGGCCCCAGAACTGTGGCCTATGATAATGGTCTTCTCGTCACAGTGCAGCTCCGTCTCCATGAAGGGCAGCCAGATGATCTCTCGGGCTGTAACTAAGGTTCAGGATAAAGAAAGAGTGTCACTTGATAGAGACAGCCTTAGTCTAAAGCTGCCCACCTTTCTAATGGATGATTACTAAGTAGTTAACAACTTTTAAAATTGCAGGACCACAGTGGGAGATGGGGCCATTTTAATATGGCCAAAGATGTGCATGTTGCTATTTGAAAAAAATGAAACCTGTAGTATTGGTATTATTTTATACCATTTTCTTGTAGGAAAATACTGAGTATATAATAAAAATAACTGATGCTTTAAACTTTTCAACTTAAAATGACAGTATTGCTTCTCAAATCATTTATTTATTTTCAAAATGGGAGTTCTTGAGACAAATCATAGCAAAACTCAGAACAAAAGTGGCACTGTTATACTGTTAAATATTAGGATTTTATAGATGCTAGAAAGTTTTATCCTATTTCTGCCTCAACTGAAACACGCATAAATTTTGCCTAGAAATATGTATTGATTTGTAGAAGGGAAAATCAGTTGCTTGAAAAGTTGAAAATTAAATTTTACCAAGTCCAAGAGCTTTTTTTGATCCTTACTAGAATTTTCTGTAATATTTTTTCTTTGTATTCACCCTTCACCCTTGCCATCATTCATTCTTAGGTATATACTCTCTTTGGCTGCTCTACTATGATATTCTTGTTTTCTACTAGGGAAATGCAAGATCAAAACCCAACAAGAAGAGGCTATTTAAAAACACTTTTAATACTCACTTGGGTCAGGCATGTTTTTAGCCAAACACTGGAAACCAGGTATCTATGACATAAGGGAGGAAAAGCTATAATAAACATGTTAATTACAACTAATACAATGTTAATAAGATATGAGAAACCACGCTGGCCAGGTAGCTCAGCTGGTTAGACTGTCATCTGATACACCAAAATTGTGGGTTCAATCCCTGATCAGGGTACATACAACAATCAACCAATGAAGGCATAAATAAGTGAAACAATAAATTGATGTTTCTCTCTCTTGCTCTCCCTCTCTTCTTCCCCTACCTCCTCTCTCCTTCCTCTCTCTCTAAAAATCAATAAATAACCCTGGTTGATGTGGCTCAGTTGACTGACAGCCTGTGAACTGAAAAAGGTTGCTGGCTGGACTCCCAATAAGAGCACATGCCTAGGTTGTGGGCCAGGTCCCCCAGTGGAGGGCGTGTGAGAGTAAACTGACTTGTTTTCTCACATTGATGTTTCTCTCCCTCTCTTTCTCTCTTCCCCACTCTAAAAATAAATAAATAAAATATTTAAAAAATAAAAATCAATCAATAAATGAGACAATACGATCTTTATTCAATAAGTGTTTGTTTATGCTATGAAATGAAGTGGGTTAAACACTACAGGATTACATATGAATGAATACACAATCCCTCTAATAAACTTCATCTCTAGTTCCATACCTAGCCAGCTCTTTAGGTCTCCATATAGAAAGACCTATATCTATAAGTGAATGTGTTCAAGACAGACTGACTTGGAGTGAAACAGACTGTGTGCCAGGAAGTAGGTAAAATATAGTACAGAAACTTGGAATCCCATTCTCTTGGACAGCTCCAGCTCTGACCTTTTGGTTTATACCTCTAGCCATGCAACTCAGGAATTTTATTCTAGAAACCTAGTCTAGAGCTCTAGAGGACAGCAACACAAGAAGCGATCTTATTGTGTTGGTTATGGAAGAGAATTTTTAAAAAATCAAGATGCACAAAACAACCTATAGTAGAATATCATTTTTATAAAAGTCAAATTAAGCAATATGTTGAAAGGATATACACATAGGCTGCAAATGTATTTTAATTTTAAAAGAAGCAAATGAAAATTCAGAATGACAGGGAAATGGGATGAGTGGTGACACAGATGGTTTCTATTGGTAATGTACTAGGTTTTAGGTTGGTCGTGGATTTTCAGGTATTGAGTAGTCATAATTTACATACACGTTACATATATCCTTCATATATATTAATATTACATGTTGGTTTTTTTTAAAAACCTGAAACAGGAAGAGAGCAGTAAAACTATTAGAAGTCCTAAATCTGAACCAGCAGCAGACACGCAGCAGGGGTGGGGGGGTGGGTTCGTTCTCTGTAGTTTCAAGAGGTGGTGCTTTGTACTCTGAAGACCAAGCCAAAGTCCTCGGGCCATTTTATCAATGTTCGGACCTCTAGTTTTAGAGTTTAAGACAGTTTGGCAGAGGAAAGGAATGAACACACACAGAGCCTGGTTTTGGGAGAGGGTTGAGAGGCACAAGTTCAAACTTCAGTCCTACGTCTCTTCCGTCCCTTCCAGCTCCAGGCTAATTTCCCAGCACAGCAAGGTGAGTCTCTTACCTGATCCAGTGCCTTCTTCACCCAGCCATACCAGCCGTGGGTGGCCACATCCCCGCCTCCATTCCCGGGCACAATTACAGCCTTGCTAGGAGAAGCCATGAACACGAAAAGCCAGAGCAACCAGCCAGACAGAGCTTAGAACCCAGGAGTGAGTCAGCTGGGGAGCCTGCACTGTGGCATTTTGGGAATTGTAGTTCTAGAGAGCCATAGGGCAGCTCATTCACTCTGGCCTTCTTTACAGCACAGGACAGTCAAAATCAAACCTTGGGAGTTTCCATCACATGTACAAGACTGTGATAAGGCCAGAATGTGCTATCTCTTTACTAGAGTTACTGATATTTCCATAGGAAAGTGTGCTATTAATTCCAAACATACAGAACACAGCCCATTTATTAGTTGAGGATTCCTGGAATTCATATTATTTTTTCTTCTGATTTCAAAATAGTTCTTAAATAGTCAAATACTAAAATAGTCAATATTAGCCCTGGTTGTTATTTTTGATTACTTTAAACACCATCCTTTAAAGGCTTTGGATAACAATACTTGAACTGATTTGGAGATTGGGGAAACTGAGATAGCAATGAAATGGTTTATCTATCATAATGGGGCAGTCTTAAAATTTTAGGAATTGATCGTGTCTTATATATTCAAAGCTTATTGAATTGAGGTGGGCAGAGTTTGTGTTATAAACGGTAATGAAGAGGAAAATGCTTTTTATTCCTTGCCCCTCCCATGGACTAACTCACTGTGTACCTCACTTGTGTGTCAGCATTTGACACTGAGAAACACTCTGTGTTTATTTTTTTAACAGGCACAAGTAGGTGATCGATGATACACTGTCACCCATCACATTCTTTACCAAGAGCAAGACATAATTTTTCCTCTTGGACCTTACACTCTAGATTTTCTTGAAAAGATCAATGTTAATTAACTTTAAGTGTAAACTTATTTACATAAGAATGAACTATTAACACACAGAACACCATGGATGAGTCTCAAAAGGATTACTGCTGACTGGAAGATGCCAAACAAAAAAAGAGTGGAATATGATTCCATTTATTTAAAACTAAAAAAATACAAGGTGCACAAGAAAATGTTATGGGGTGATATACATCTTCATCTTGATTGTGGTGGTGTCAAAACTTAACAAATTGTACACTTTAAATTTGCAGAGCTTATTGAATGTCAATTATACCTCGATAAAGTTGTTTAAAACTTTAGGAACTGTAGGCTGCAAAAAAAATCTAGCCTTCCTTAAGGTTTAAGATTTTTCTTTCCTCACTTGTAGGGTGGTTATTTCTTCCTTTGAGAAGGAGCAAATAAAGGCAATGGCCTCAATTCTCACCTTTCTCCAGTTGTTTATATCAATAATGATTGCAGTTATATAATTACAAATAATCTACTTTTTCTATGTTTTACTTCTATTACAAGCATTTTCTGAGCTTCTTGTTATGAGAAGAAATAGCTTGATTTCAAAACATTTTTATTAATTTTTAAAAATCTGAAAATGCACAATTTATATTTGGGCCATCATTTGTTAATATTGAAAGAGCTGTTCACAAGAACTTGCCATAGTAGTTATATATTTTTTAACAAATTTAGCCACCCTCCTCTGAGGTCAGTTTCTCCTTTTGAAAAAAATCTTCCTCTGCCTGAGCTTTTCTTTTCAGGTCAGGATCTCTGCTGTAGGCAATTTGTACTAACCCTTCAAATTTGCTGTCCAAACTTTCTCTCCTTCTACTTTTCCATTTTTTCCCACATATTATTTTTTAAAACATCTTGAGAAGAAAAAGAAAACTTCTTCAGAGTCTTGGAGGACATACAGGAGTTAACTGGGGAAGGAAGAGAGGTGCAGTGGTTGTTCTTAGCAGAGAGGAGAAGTACAGAAAGGCAGAGACAAGGTGGGCTGGGAAAGACAATCTGTTCAGGGGACTTCCGCCAAGATGGAGGCATAGGTGGAGACCCCGTGCTTTCTCGCACAAGTTTAGAGACAACAAAATATTAGCAACAGAAAACACAGCCAGAACACAGAAAATTGAACTTTTCAGAAGTCTGATAACAAATTCTTCAGCCTGACCGGTAAGAGGGGCGAAACCAGCAGCTGTCAGAGTGGGGTTGCACAGAAAAACTCAGTCAGATGAACTCAGGCACGTGGATCTCAGGCTCCCAGGCATCGGGTTGCAACGAGTGGACCCAGTGAGTGACCCAGTGAGTAACTGGCAGACCCAGCAAGGGCGCAGGGTGGCGGGTTGACTGTGGTCACGCATTTGTGCGCAGATAGACCAGCGAGGGAGTGGGTGGTGAGATAGGACCAAGCAGGCCCCAGCAGCGAGAGGCAGCAGAGGGGGGCCGCCATTTCCCCACTCTGACCCTGCCCCCACATACAGTGTCACAATCCAGTGACCTGAGCGACCCTGCCCTGGTGAACAACTAAGGCTTTGCTCCTCGTACTTAAAGGGCACAAACAGACCAAAAATGGCTCAAGAAGATCTCAAAGCCCCAGAGCCCATAACTCTAAGCGACGAAGAAATAGCAAAACTTTCAGATGCACAGTTCAAAACACTGGTGATCAGGATGCTCGCAGAACTGGTTGATTTTAGTCACAAATTAGAGAAACACATGAATGCAAAACTAATTGAAATGAAGGGAAATGCACAGGAAACCAAGGGTGATGAAAAAGAAACTGGGACTCAAATCAAGGGAGTGAACCGGAAGGAAGAAAAAAATGGCCAAACAGGAAAATATGAAGAAATAAGAATTCAAAAAAATGAGGAGAGACATAGGAACCTCCAGGACATCTTTAAATGCTCCAACATCTGAATTATAGGGGTACCCGAAGGGGAAGAGGAACAGCCACAGTGGGAAACTTATTTGAACAAATAATAAAGGTGAATTTCCCCACTCTGGCAAAGGAAATAGACTTCCAGGAAATTCAGGAAGCTCAGAGAGTCCCAAAGAAGTTGGACCCAAGAAGAAACACACCAAGGCACATCATAATTACATTAGCCAAGATTCAAATGAAGGAGAGAATCCTAGAAGCAGCAAGAGATAAGGGGACAGTCACCTACAAAGGACTTCCCATCAGACTGTCAGCAGATTTCTCAAAAGAGACCTTACAGGCAAGAAGGGGCTGGAAAGAGGTATTCCAAGTCATGAAAAACAAAGACCTACAACCAAGATTATGCAGCAAAGTTTTCATTTAGAATGGAAGGTCGGATAAAGTGCTTCTCAGATAAGATCAAATTCAAGGAGTTCATCATCACCAAGCCCTTATTATATGAAATGCTAAAGGGACTTATCTAAGAAAAAGAAGATAAAAAAGATAAACAGTGAAAGGACAGCAAACTCACAGTTATTAACAACCACAGCTAAAACAAAAGCAAACTAAGAGAACAGCTAGATCAGGAGCAGAACCAGAGAAATGAAGATCTCATGGAGGGTTAGCAACAGGGTAGTGGGAGGAGGAGAAGAGGGGAGAAGGTACAGAAAACAAGTAGCATAGATGGTAGATAGAAAATAGATAGAGGGGCAAGAATAGTATGGGAAATATAGACTCTAAAGAACTTGAGACACATGGCCATAAACTGAAGGGGGGAATGGTGGGGGCGGGGGTGTACAGGGTGGAGGGGAATGAAGGGGGGAACAGAACAACTGTAATGGCATAATCAATAAAATCAAAAGAATATTTAAAAAATTTTTTTGATCAACACAATAAAAAAAAGACAATCTGTTCAGTGCTATACGAATGAAGAATGTAGATCATGAAGGCCCTTGAATACAACAATAAGGGAACTCTATTCTTTGAGTTATGGTAAAACTATATAGAGATTTAAGCAAGAGAATGTTAGAGCCTGATGTGTGATTTTGAAAATTTTGACAACAAATGTGAGATCTGGGTTTGGCAAAATGTGGGTGGGGAGATCATTTGGAAGGCTGTGGCAAAAAACCAGTGAGAGAGGATGAAGGGGTGCTCTCCCTTCCTGGAGTATGCCTGCTCCTTTCCCTTCCCATCTGCTCTTCCCCTGGACCATTACCGTTACCCTTCTCTCTAAGCTCCAAGTGCCCCCTTCCTTTGCCTTTGTAATTTGTTTCTGAACCCACTTCCTCTATGGCTCACTTCTTTTACCTCTATGGTTTTCTAAACAAACATATGCTTATAGTTTGAGTTTTGACTTTGAACTCTTTCTTAGCCAGAACTCAAGTACTCGGTTGCTGAACCAAGGACTGGTTTGATGTCAGCAGTCTAACACCTGGTGCCATTTTCATTCTTGCCACCATTATGGTGCCATGACTCAGACTGTTAAAGGGGTTGGGGGAGAGCATGAGGTCTTGAACTAAGTAGATAGATGGAATTGAGAAATATTAAGAATAACAGATCAAGAGAGACAAGTGACTCATTGTTAGTTTCAAGGGCAGGGGTGGGGGTGGGATAGAAATGTAGGGGGAAAATATAAATTTATTTAATATAAGTTTTATATGACATGGGAAGCTTCATAAGGAAATGATAACCCAAAGAAACAAGTAAACCTAATTGTTTTTATGCTAAGTTTGATGATGTGTGGAAAGTCATGAGGAAATGTGATAGGACAAAAGAATATGAACAGTGTGAGTAGTAAACTGGAAGAAACTTGGCAAGGCCTGTTCATTCCGATTCGTCTTCAGAGGGAAGAATGCTTCCTTATTCCTGGTAAAGGGAGGGAACTTTTAGCATGGATTCAGGATCTGCTTTGGGGAGAGAGGAGGGGTCATAGAGTCCTTCCTTGAATCATTTTTTAAATTCTTTCAGGTTAAAATATTCAGTATGCCATTGTGTTATATTTTGGGGTATTGTGTCTTGAACCCTGTTGGAGGAGGGGCCAAGGATAACTTTCTAGTTTGAGGAGTAACTGGGAGAAGAACGGTATCTCCAAGTGAAATAGAAAGTATAAGAGACAGATTAGTTTAGTGGAAATATGAATTCAGTTTACAACATAATGAGATTGAGATGGCCAAGAATATCCAGAGATATCCAGCATGTTGTTGAATATATAAATCTGATGTTAGAGAAGTATAACCCCAAAATAGAAAATGTAGATTATACATGCTGAATCATATTTCAGGAAAATTATGGGAGATTTTGAAATTGTCAAAAGAGAACTCTCTATAGAATGCTGG